GAATATCGGCAAAAATTTAACATTTCCGCTACTTTGAGCTCAGTTTCAAGCCATTTCCAATGCTAAAACCAATCAAAATCATCTCTATTTCTGTAATATGTCTTCCATTCTATCAAATGAGACCAAGAAATCGCAAATACAACTATAAAAAACATACGAAAAAACACTGCAAAGTTGCTGTTTTAATCGAAAAATCATGATTTCATTTTTTTTCTCTCATTATCCACAGTGTGCTGCAGGATCTGTTTTATGTGGTGCACACATACCACATAGATGTATTCTCTCATATCTAGGCCCAAATGTACCACTCACAGTTTATCAGAGTGAGCTGAGCTCATGGCGTAGATCTACGGTTTGGACCCTGAACGTAAAGCCGTAGATCTACGGGACGGACCCTGAAAGGGTTAAAAAGCAAAGATAAGGGCTTGGTACCTGAAGTCCTTATGGAAGGGGGATATCCCTTCCAAACACTAGTACACCTCCATCCTCTCCCCTCCTCCCATCTCATCACTCATCAATACGTCTTTGATAAAGGTAAGTGTCATTTTATTATTTATTCTGTATGTCTCATTGTTTTCTGTGTAGGGAAATGTATATTTCATGTAAAAAAATTTGTTTAATACTTCTGGGTGTCTGGAATGGATTAATTGGATTTCCATTATTTCTTACGGGGAAAATTAATTCAGATTACAACAGATTTGGTATAAGACACGCTCTCTGGAACTGATTGTCGTAATCCGGGGGTCCACTGTATATGCCGTGTTTCTATGTTATTAATATTGTTTATGTCATACTACATGAATTGTGACAGATAAATAAGCTGTAGAGTTGATATAAGTGTTATATTGAAGTACAGTGGAACCTCAAAAATCAAACGTATCACATATCGAACTTTTCGAAAATAGGACCATTTTTTCGGACAAACTGTGTCCCTATTATCGAACGCACCCCTATTTTCAGACCGCCGGGTACAGGACCTGTCTGCCGCCCGCTCTGTCCGCATCCCCGCGCAGGCGCCGTGAGCAGTCTAGCTTTGTTTATGCTTGAGTGAACACTAACCTGCGCTCTCATTCACGCATTTTACGATTATTTCGTTGTGTTTAGTGCTTGTGGGACTATGAAATAAGCTGCCATGGACCCAAAGAAGCTTGCTAGTGATACCCCTGTGGTAAAGAAAGTGAGAAACACCATAGATGTGAAGAAGGAAATAATACAGAAGTATGAGAGTGGTGTGAGACTTGTTGAGCTTGCCAGGATGTATGGGAAAAACAAGTCGACCATCGGTTCTATCCTGTCAAAGAAAGAACAAATAAAGGAAGCTGATGTTGCGAAAGGTGTTAATATAGGGAGTGGATGAGGTGCCTTCTTCAAAGATTAAGGAGATTTGTGCCAAGTGGAATGATGTCCAAATGTTTGTGCAGCAGTACCACCCTGAGCAAGCTGAAACAAGCCATCTTTGCAACAAGTTCAGTGACAGAACCATGTCCCATTTTAGGGAAATGTAAAAGAGGCACCAGAAACAGAGGACTGTGGACAGTTATTTTATGAGTCAGAGGTCCAGTGACTCAAGCTGGTTCTAGTGGCATTAAAAGACAGAAGGGAAGTAACCCCAGAGAGGGCTTTACCTGAAGTCCTCATGGAGGGGGATTCTCCTTCCAAACACTAACCCCAACTCCCTCTCTCCTCCTCCCTATCTTCCAGATGCCATCACCAATCTTCAATAAAGGTAAGTAAAAATGTTATTTTATATGTATTACTATACATAATTAAAAACTATAGTATTTGTTGTATGTAAAACTGTAATTAATCTCTATAAAATGTATTTTTTGTGTGAATATTTTTGGCTTTCTGGAACGGATTAATTGTATTTCCATTATTTTTTATGGGAAATATTGCTTCGAATTTCAGACTTTTCGAATTTAGAACTAGCTCCTGGAACGGATTAAGTTCGATTTTTGAGGTTCCACTGTACTACCTTGTCCTGTCTCCAAACACACTCCCCTGCCGCCATCACAATTCCTAACATATGTAACGACAGTGAAACCCCGGGTTTCAGCCACTTCAGGTTTCACCCGATTTTTTAGGCCAAATTTTGTCCCACGTTTCGGCCTTTGCCCCAGGTTTTGGCCGGCATACCAGACCTGTCCGCCTCCCCATGCAGGCGTCATTAGCCATTCTAGCATTGTTTATCCTTGAGTGAACATTACCCTGCACTCTCATCCTGCCAGCCAGGCAGCCAGCCAGCCAGGCATCCAGCCAGCCAAGCAACCAGTCAACCAGCCAGGCATCCAGCCAGCCAGGCATCCAGCCAGCCAACCAGCCAGCCAGTCAGGCATCCAGCCAGCCAGGAATCCAGCTAGCCAGGCAACCAGCCAGCCAGGCAACCAGCCAGTCAGCCAGGCAACCAGCCAGCCAGGCAACCTGCCAACCAGCCAGGCATCCAGCCAGCCAGGCAATCTGCCAACCAGTCAGGCATCCAGCCAGCCAGGCAACCTGCCAACCAGCCAGGCATCCAGCCAGCCAGGTAACCAGCCAGCCAGGCAACCAGCCAGCCAGGCATCCAGCCAGCCATTAATTGACTGAAAAGTGTGCAAAGTGGAATGAGTTGCAATATTTTGTTGAAAAGTACCACCCTGACCAAGCTGAAACAAGCCATATCTGCAACATGTTCAGTGACAAAACCTTGTCCCACTTCAGGGAAATCTTAGAGATGCCAGAAACAGAGCACTCTTGACAGTTATTTTGTGCGACAGGGGTCCAGTGACTCTCAAGCTGGTCCTAGTGGCCTTAAAAGACAAAGAAGGGAAGAAACTCCAGATAAGGACTTGTTACCTAAAGTCTTTATGGAAGGGGATTCCCCTTCGAAGCAATAAGTCCTCCCTCTCTCCTCCCCCTATCTTCCAGATGCCAGCAAGTCTCTTCAATAAAGGTAAGTAAATGTTATTTTAAATGTTTATTTAAATTGTAATTTATGTACTGTATAATATATATGTATTTATCTGTGTTGTGTGTATGAAAACTATAATTATTATTTAACCCTTTGAGGGTCGACAGGCCCTCTCCGAAACTCGTTCTCAGGGTCGGCCGAATTTAAAAAAAAAAAAAATTATTTTCTCTTATGAAAAGATAGAGAATCTTTTTCCGATCATAACGACACCAAAAGTTTGAAATTTGATAGAAAACTTACGGAATTATGCTCTCGCAAAGTTAGCGGTCTCGGCGATGTTTACGCATCGGCGATTTTGCCCACTTTGAGCCCCATTTTCGGCCAATTTCTCTGTACTAGTCGACAAAAAACATGAATATTTCGCTAGAACTCCATTTTTTCTATCGAATGGGTGCAATAAACCACCCATTTATAAATTCAACTATCCAGTACAGTGGTCAGAATTTAGCAATTTTGCCAATTTCACACAAATTTCAAAAGATGCCAATTTCCGAATAGGGTCCAGAATAAACAAGATAGACATTCCTGGCACTAAAATGACATTTCCTCTAGTCATTAGTCACGTCTCAAGGCCCCTCTTATATTCTTTTGCTTTCCACTTTGAATTTTTATTCTCACAAAAAATATAAGATTTACTGTTATGCAGACTACTGCATTAGTGTAAAAAATGGTATAAATATTATTGGTGCACTTGTGAAAGAATATTAGACTCACCAGTTGACGTGTATTGCACGCTTGGCACGATTTGTTTACTTTTGAAGTTTGGTAAAAATCGAATATTTCTGCTACTTTGAGCTCAATTTCAAGGCACCTTTCATTGTAAAACCAGTCAAAATCATCTCAATTTCAGTAATATGTCTTCCATTCTATAAAATGAGACCAAGAAAACTAGAATAGAACAATAAATACCATACGAAAATACACTGCAAAGTCGCTGATTTATTAAAAAAAAATGGTCAAAGTTTTTTTTTTCTCATTATGCACTGTGTGCTGCAGGATTTTTTTTAGACTGTGCACACTGACCACATAGACCCATTCTTTCATATGAAGGCCTACCAGCTTTCTCCCACTAGATTTGAGGCCGCTAGAATTTATGAGTACTAGTACGTCAAAAACCCCTACGCGTAAGACGTACTAGTACGACGAAAACCCTCAAAGGGTTAAAAAATGTATTTTTTTGTCAATATTTTTGTGGGTCTGGAATGAATTAATTTTATTTACATTATTTCTTATGGGAAATAGTGCTTCACCTTTCGGCCGTGTCACATTTAGGCCTAGCTCCTGGCACGGATTATGGCCGAAACCCAGGGTTTCACTGTATTTTATTCATACACCAACAAGAGTCTTCAATAAAGGTAAGTGGGATGTTATTATTGTTTTATTCTTCACATCTCATTGTTTTCTGTGTATGTAAATGTATATTTCAGATAAAAACAATATTTGTTAATACTTTCGGTCTGGAATGGATTAATTGGATTTACATTATTTTTTATGGGGATAATGGTTTCGCAAATTGTCAATTTCGCCATTAGTCACACTCTCTGGAACGGATTAATTACAAAAAACGAGGGCCCATTATACATTCAAATTTACAAATATCAATTAAATCTTCTGTAGGATGTCCTGATAATAATAATTTAGGTTATTCATGGGTTTTGAGGATCCCATGTTTTGGGTGAGGGAAGGAACAACCCCTAAATTGAAGATTAACCATGAGATATTGTTCAAAATGTACTCTGAATTTTCCACTCCCAAATCTCTTGTTTTTAGGTATTCTTTCTTATGAATGTTAATATTAATGAGGGTAGAGCAATATTTAAATAAAGATGGCCTCTGAAATACAAAATGATCCCAAATTAAAAACAAAAATTATTAATCAGAATTTAATGATATTGATAGTCACTGATTCTATATTTATGGGAATCTCCAAAACAACCTTCACATATCTGGAGGAATTATTATATTAGATAATTGCTGAAAAAGAAATATTAAATGATCTTAAAATATTTTTCAAATTCCTAAAGAATTGCAAAAATATTAAAAAGCTGTTTACCTTCTGGTGACATGCTGGGCTACTAAATAATTTCACTTTTCCAAAGTCATCCCCTGTAGCCAAGACAGCTGAGAAGTTAGCCTTAACACAGGTGTTTACATCAGTGCCATCAGCACCTTCAGGCCAAATACCCAGAGTGGCAAATGTGAGCGTGCAGGTGCTACTTGCCCACTCCACATCGCGCATCTGTGATGTCTGTACAACTTGGCGACACAGCCCAGCATTCCCTGAGAAAAACAATAATATGAATCTTAACTTTTAGACTATTTCTGTAATTATATACAAATATACATTCACTTCTTCTATATTCCCTCCCTTCAATGTGATATCCAATTTTTCTTTATCCAAATCATTTGATACCCTTATAAGATAAGATTTTCTTTGAATTTTTAACCCCGGAGGGTTAGCCGCCCAGGATAACCCAAGAAAGTCAGTGCGTCATCGAGGACTGTCTAACTTATTTCCATTGGGGTCCTCAATCTTGTCCCCCAGGATGCGACCCACACCAGTCGACTAACACCCAGGTACCTATTTGCTGCTAGGTGAACAGGACAACAAGTGTAAGGAAAAGCATCAAAATGTTTCCACCCACCAGGAATCGAACCCAGGCCCTCCATGTGTGAAGCAAGAGCTTTAGCCACCAGGCCACCGGGCCACCGCCAGGCCACCTTACTCTTATCTATGTTCACTTTCAACTTTCTACTTTTACACACCCTCCCAAACTCATCTACTAAAAAGGAATTTCAGCATCCCATCTAATAACTTGCATATAAATTCCATTGTCTATACAGTAAAGTGGCTAATGTGAATTATCATCAGAGCTGTAACGTACCTTCCAATCCTCAACACCTCCCTCTTCATACACCTACAGTAATCCCTCAACTCCTCATAAAAAAATTATATTTATGATTAATGCAGAATGCAATACATCCATAGAAAAGGCAAATCTGTTTTAAATTCAAATGTCAGTTATATCTAACAATTCTGTTTTTACTGCAATTGTACTGTATTGTATAATTATCATAAAGAACATATAGCAGCCTAATTCAATTAATTAAATAATATTAGTTTAACCCTTTGAGAGTCTAGACCCCCAACCTGAAAATTCCCCACAGGGTCCAAGAACTTAAAAAAAAAAAAAAAAAAAAAAAAAAATGGAAGAGAATATTTTCCTGAAGGTAATAAAACACAAAGTACAAAACTTGATAAAAAAAAAAATTGACGAAATTACGATATTTACGATTTGCGATATTTACACATCGGCAATTTTGCCCAATTTGAGTCCTATTTTCGGCCAATTACGTTGTTACATTAGACCAAATTCTTAGCATTTTCGTTAGTATGTGTTCCATTTTATTTACTAAGCACAAGAAATCACCCAATAAACTATTTCAACTACCCAATAAAGTGATCAGAAATTTGTAATTTGGCCAATTTCACACAAAGTTCAAAATATTTTGATTTCAAAATAGGGTTCAGAATAAACAAGACAGACATTCCTGGCACTAAAATAACATTTCCTCTGTTTATTAGTTATGTTTCCAAGCTTTACACATGAATTCCATTTCAATTTTTTATTCACAAAGAATTTTTATTCACACAAAAAACTGATTTCTTGTTATGCAATATTGTAATAATTGTATAAATAATATCAGTGCATTCATGAATGCACATCAAATCCACTAGCTGATGCGTATTGGGCACTTGATGTGATTTTTTTACTCTTGAACATTGGCAAAAATCGAACATTTCTGCTACTTTGAGCTAAATTTCAAGCTATTTTCAGTACTAAAACCAATCAAAATCATCTCTATTTCTGTAATATATCTTCCATTCTATCAAATGAGACCAAGAAACCGTGAATACAATCTTACAAACCATACGAAAATACACCACAAACATGGTCGCAGTTTTTTTCTCATTATGCATTGCATGCTGCAGGATTTGTTTTATATGGTGCACACTTGCCACATAGATGCATTCTCTCATATCTAGGCCCAATTTTACTACTCACAGGTTATCTGAGTGAGCTGAGCTCATGACGTAGTACTACAGCTTGGACCCACGGTTCAAAGCCACAGTCATCAATCAGTTTCTTTACACTTTTTTTTAGCTTTTTCCAGTATATAACAAGAGGTGTATCTTAAAAATGTAAGCCATATTTCACAGTATATGTGAGAAAATGCATTTTTTATTTTTGTGGTCTTGTCATTTCCTTTTGGTATTTATATCCTGGCCACTTGTTGAATCATTTCCAAACACATTAATGACATCTATCTTTTAGAATCAAAAGTCTTTAAAGTAATATTGGAAAAAGATGCTGTAAAATTCAGTATTCATTAAATTAATTAAGTTGTAAACAACTTGTTAAAAAATATATCAGTGACAAAACTGTGTTAAGAGTTTGCTAAAAATTAAATGCAAAACCAATATCATTAACTTACAGAAGAGCAGCTCATAGTCTCCTGAGTTTGATTGAAGGAACTGGCTATCAGCTGACCAATCCAAGTGAGTCACAAAACTTGAATGACCCTGTAAGTTAAGAATATACTCTGGATGAGATCAAGTAAAAAAGTTATAAAAAGTATACTACATACAAAGAATTTTTGAGAAAAATGATTCTCACATCTTAGAATTCCTACGCATCCTTGATTATGAGCCACACTGGGAATCAGTGATGGAAATAGATTTTATGGAGTAGATACATGCTAGGGAATACTGATTTGGCTCGACAAGGATGTACGTCTTTATGTTCAGAGTTTAATTCCTATTTTGGAGACTACAGTAATCTTGACTGGTTAACAGGTGATGTGTAGCCTTAATTGCCCTTGTGTAGTCAATAGACTTTAAATTAAAGCAACCATAAGTAGATTTTTTGAGGAGGAGAAGGTTGAGCAAGCCCCAGGATTCCTTACAGCTTGAGGTTTGAGGAAAAAAAAGGCTTTGTAAGCTCCTTAGAAAATTTTAAATTTGAGCAATTTTGGGAACATTTTGAAAGCATATGAAATGATAATCTGGACATATCCTAAGGTTAATATTAAGCACGTCATACTCCCTCCCCATGTTACATAATACGTATATAGTATAAAGTTGCCAATATTTACAACTGAGGAAACAAAATCATAGTTGATCAGTGGAAACATGACAAAAGGCTTCTCCATTAATACATTAACTGAAATGGAAAAGTAAGTACATGCCATGTACCCACGTACCTCCTTGTTTCCATCACTGCTCAGAACATTCCTATCACACTTTATTTTACCCACTGACCATTTTCCTACATACAAGCACCTAACCCTTTCAGGGTCCAGATCCTGATCTGAGAATTGCTCTCAAGGTCCAAGAATTTAAAAAAAAAAAAAAAAATTCTTATGAAATGATAGAGAATCTTTTTCCTAAGGTAATGAAACCAAAAGTATGAAATTTGATGGAAAACTTACGGAATTACGCTCTCGCAAAGTTAGCAGTCTCAGCAATATTTACGCATCTGCAATTTAACCCAATCTGAATCCTATTTAGGCCAATTCCTATGTTCCAGTCAACAAAACTCATAGCTTTTTCACTAGTATTCTATCCATTCTATCAAACGAGTACAAGAAACTGCCCATTTACCTATTTCAACTACCCAATAAAGAGATCAGAAATCAGTAATTTGGCCAATTACACAAAATTAAAAAATTGACAATTTAAAAATAGGGTCCAGAATAAACAATGTAGACATTCCTGATACTAAAACAACATTTCTTCTGTTCATTAGTTATGCCCCTCAGGTCTCTCCTATATTACACTTGTTTTCCATTTTTTATTTTTATTCACACAAAAAATAAATTTACTGGTGTGCAGACTACTGCATTATTGTAATAACTGTATAAATAGTGTCAGTGCATTCATGAAAACATATTAGACCAACCAGTTGGACACATATCAGATACGTGACACAACTTGTATCTTTTGGGTTACTGGTAAGTATCAAACATTTCCGCTACTCTGAACTCAATTTCCGCTACTTTGAACTCAATATCCTCTCTATTTCTGTAATATATCATCCATTCTTTCAAATGATACCAAGAAACTGAGAATACAACCATAAAAAACCATCCAAAAATACACTGCAAAGTCGCTATTTTGAATCAAATTCATGGTCAGTTTTCCCATCATGCACTATGTGGGGCAGGATTTTTTTATATGGTGCACACTCACCGCATAGACCCATTCTCTCATATCTAGGCCCAAATTTACTGCTCACTGCTTATCTGAGTGAGCTGAGCTCACGCCCAGACCTCAAACCCGTAGTACTACATCAAAGACCATGAAGTGGTTAAGTGTGCAGAAAAACTCAAAATATTAAGGATGCCTACATCAATGCTTTAAAGATTTACAACAGTACTGATAATCTGTCTGTAAAGCTAAGATACAGAGCTTAGAGAGGAACTAAAAAATCTAAAACAGCCTAAAGAACCAAAGAACAGTACAGCCATGACATCAGGAACTGCTACATCAGTCACAGACGAGGGGACTGAAGGAGCAAAGAAGCTATACTGTATGCGAAGGCCCTATCAGACCCATGTGGGACCTGGGAAAAGACGAGGAGCACATCAAGAACAAATGAGGGGACTAAAGATAATGAAGGAGTTAAGCTATATGCAGAGGCTCTAACAGACCACTGCAGTGCCCAGGAACTGATGAGCAGGAAAAAAGACAGACCAGTGAGCACAGAGACATCAGCTAGGGAAGAGGTTGAAGGAAGGAACGCTTCAATGGCAGGAACTAAATCGTCTCAGGGGATGCAAAGGGAAATACAGTGGGAGGATGAAAGGGAAAGGTCAATTTTTGTCTATGGGCTCCAGGAAGTTGAAGGGTAAACTTATGAAGCAAGAAAACAGGAGAAAAAAAGTGATTGAAAGTATCGTGAAAACAATAGGAGAGGACGACATGACCCAGATGGCAAATTTTCAGAGAACTGGGTGGTTTCCAAGAGGAACAAAATGACCGGTCAAAGTGATATTCAAGGCAGAATCAGCTTCAAACAGGATCTTGCAGGACAAACCGGACTACTGGAGAGTGTACCTCGACTGAGACAGAACACGAGAAGAAAGGAGGATGCTGAAAGAGAGGGGACAGAGTCACAGGGAGGAACGAGAGACGAGGATGGAGGCGAGCAGGAGAACCCAGACCCAGGTGGAAGAGCAAACACAACCTCCTCCAGAACCACCCACAGAAGGAATCCAACCTCGGAAACCCCAATGCAACCACACAATCTAAACCAAAACCCCCATATATTACCCTGTCCCCACCCCCTCATCACAAACCCCACCCCACAGCAACCCCCCATAGGACCCCTGCCCCAACTCCCCTCATTATAAACCCCACCCCTCCAGCATCCCCCCATAGGCCCCCACCAGGGCTCCCACTCCCCCAACCCCACCATTCTCTGTGGACCACAGTTTTAGAAAAGAAGTTGAAGATTTGGTATACAAACACAATGGAATAACAAATAAATGTGAGGAGTGGCATGAAAGAATCAAGGAGACATCCCCCAGACATAACAGCAGTCACAGAAATGAAACTCACTGGGTTGATAGGAGACGCAATCTTCCCACCCAGATACCAGATCCTGAGGAAAGATAGAAGGTGCAGAGGGGGAGGAGGGGTTGCACTGCTCATGAAAAACTGATAGGGATTTGAGGAAATAGAAGGAATGGATGAGACTGGAGAAAAGGATTACATAGTAGGTACAATTCGGTCTGGGAGACATAAAGTAGTCATTGCAGTGATGCATAACCTGCCACAGAACTGCAGGAGGCCAAGAGAGGAATATGAAGAGAACAATAGAGCAATGGTGGACACACTACCTAAGGTGGCCAGGAGAGCTCACTCATTAAGAGCAAAGTTACTGGTTATGTGCAATTTCAACCACAGGGAGATTGATTGGGAAAACCTGGAACCACATGGGGGTCCCAAAACATGGAGAGCCAAGATGAGGTTTGTGGTACGGGAAAACCTCATGCATCAACATGTAAAGGGACACTACCAAAAAAAGAGGAGGATGAACAAGCAAGACTGGACCTCATGTTCCCCCTGAGTAGCTCGGACATTGAGGACAACACACATGAAAGGCCCCTGGAGTCAGTGATCACATGGTTCTGAGCTTTGAATACACAGTAGAGTTACAAGTGGAGAGGGTAACAGGAGTAGAAAAGAAAAGCCAAACTACAACAGAGGGGACTACACAGGTATGAGGAAACTCCTGCAGAAGGTTCAGTGAAAAGAGATTGGTAGGAAGTCAGTAAATGAAATGATGGATTACATACCAACAAAATGTAAGGAGGCAGAGGAAAGGTTTGTTTCCCAAAGGCAACAGAAATACATAATGGGGAGACCAGAACGACCCCTTTGGTTACCCAATGGTGTAGGAGGGAAAAACTAAGTGCACTAGAGAATGGAAAAGGTAAAAAGGCAAAGGACCCAGGAAAATAAAGAGATTATTGAAGAGCCCGAAACAAGATGCACAGAAAGGAGGGGGGGCCCAGCAACAGTACGAAAACGACATAGCATCAAAAGTCCTGCACATATTTTTCAAGCCACTTTTTTACAAAACTGGCAGCCTCACCATGCCTTACAAAACTGTGTATGCCACTACAATTCTTAAATCTCTCAAACCAGCCTTTGCTGGCCTTAAATTCATCAACAGCAGCACAATTTGGAGGTATTTTCTTAATGAGATCCTCATGCAACTGCCCTGCCTTTTCACATATTACTGACTGAGAAATACTATCTCCTGATACATTGTTTCTCGTTTATCCACACCAGCAACAGTCTCTCCACATTTTCGAGTACTTGCGATCTCTGTTTTGTAAGCACACTTTCACCTTTTGCAACAGCTTCCTTGATTGCCTTTTTGTTGCACAAGATAGTAGTGATGGTTGAATGGGGTTTGTTGTATAACTTTTCCAACTCCGAGATACACACTCCACTCTCGTACTTTTCTATTATCTCCTTTTTTAATTCGATAGTACACCTCACCCTTTTCACCTCAGGGTTGGCACTAGAAGCTTTCTTTGGGCCGATGGTGGCTTATTTAGCAGTTACAAGCACTAAAAACAATGGAATAATACAAAATATATTGCATGTATGCGTGGAATCGTCCTTACTGGCTTGTAAACAATGGCACACTGGCTGGTACATGGGGTGAGAGGCCGGGCCCACTCAGGGTGCCGTGAGAACACATTCGGAACGAAAGCCAAAGTGAGGCATTATCCGATTTTGGCGTTAGCCGAGGGTCCACTGTACATATAATAGAAAGAAAGAAAATAAATAAAAGGAAAAACTCCAACTTCATATCTTTGTTTTAATTTTCATAACTCTTACATATTACAGAAAACAATAAAAAAGTAAAATACACATACAGTACATTCATTACTTACCTTAAAATATTTGTAGACCTAATGGAGGGTGAGAATGAGTAGTATTTATTGTAGCATATACAGTGCACTCATTACTTACCTTAAAATATTTGTACTTTTAATGTAGGG